CCAGTTTATACTGAAACTGGAAAGCGTAATAATGTGCCATTTGCCAAATTCATAAAGAGTTTAAAAACTAATCAGGATAAAGATGAGATTACTCCCAAGCTTCTAAGAAAAATAGGAGCTAAACACGCCTCGATGGTTCATGCCGGTCCAAATCCAACCCCTCAACATCTCAACAATCTTTCAGAAATCGCATTAAGACATAAAATTAACCGTCTTGATGCAGGGAAAAATTACACTTTAGGTGATTCAGAATCGAAGAAGGAGCCCAAATCTGAATCAGAGACAAGTGATGGTCCAAAACTCCAAACACAGGCTTCTTCACTTGCATCCCATGTCACTCCTAAGAATAATGATCCAAAAAAGTCTCAGACTATGGATTCAATGTTAACTGAAATTGATGCAATGTTAGCTGAAATTCGGAAATAAATTCCTCCCTGCCTTTTCATAAATTCGAAGCCAGAAAAAGGATCTTTGATCGAAGGAGGGTGATCGCGTAATTTTATTTTTTTGTTTGAAGATATAACATATAATACAGACTATTTATGGCGCAATCAAGAATTTTTATTATACCAGAACTATTAGAACAGATTTTACATTTTTTAGCGATAGATAAATCCCTCTATCCTACTCTATATGTTTCCCGATTATGGTACAGATGCGGTGCACCTATTCTGTGGAAGCATATCGAATTGAGAGGAAAAGACTTATATCCTAGGCAATCTCTTTCAAATGATTATAATTACTGTGTGAAGGATCGCCTTCGATTAAATAAATTCATAAGGATAGAACATGCAAAGGATCTATCTCGATTGAAAAAATTCATAAAGTTAGTACGTGGGAAGCAAACGCCAGTTTATTGCTCAAATGTAACTCATCTTGAAATATCATACTACCATTCACTTTTAGATAAAAAAATCATAAGTATTGTACATTCATGTCCAAATATAATCCATTTGAGTTTCATAAATAGCATAGGATTTAGTAATAGAGCATTAGAACTGATAGCGGGTTCATACCCGAATCTGAAGTATCTCAATTTATGTGATGATCGGTCAGGTTGCTTTAGAAGCTTTAGTGATCGAGAAGTGGATGATGAAGGTCTAACTGCAATTGCAAATCCATGCTATAATTTAGAATATCTAAATATTTCCTATCGCATATATTTTTCTGAAAAATCAATTTGTAACATTATCTATTCTTGTCCAAAGCTCCAACATCTCAACCTTAGTTTTTGTAAAATTACTGATATAACTATCAAAGAAATTGCTAGTTCGTGTCTTAATTTAAAATATCTTAATCTGGAAGGATGTTATAAAATTAGCAAAGAGGCTGTAGATCAACTCGTTTCACTTAATCCACATATCCATGTTAAGAATTTCGTATGTACTATAACGCCTTCTGATTTTGATGCATATTCTGTGATGTATTCACTTTCAGAGAGATTGGGGATGCCAGTTGACATACCAAGAGATATTACATCCTTAAATGATTATATTAACGATGAACTAATAAGGAGAATAAACTGGCAACCTAATAGACGATCACCAAGGAATTATTTTGATAGAATACTAGCCGATCAAGCAGGATGATAGAACTCTACTGATCTAACTAATCTGGATCAGTGATCACGTAATTTCCCCGAAGGTGCTTTGCTATTTTTTCGATTAAAAATACAACGTATAATAGATACTATCTATGGCACAGTCAAGCATTTTTATTATACCAGAACTATTAGAGCGGA